CCCGGGATCAGCCGGGCTGTGGCTCGTATGTTGGTTTGCGTGCAGCCAGCAGCAACAGCCTGGTTGATCAGGCTCTGATCCACCAGGAGGCCTGGTCTCAGACCGGGCCGCGGGGGCGTTGACCCCCGGAACTCTCTCCAGGTAAACTCCAGGTAAACTGTGACTAGTTAATGGTTCAAGCCGGACAGAAACATCATCATAAGTTTCTCTTGCTCGATGTGTGTGCATGATGATGATAACTTTTATTCTTAGAAAGTATGGTTTGCACGTCTTTCAAAATAAGATAACATTATTGACATACTTTATTGAAAGCTCCTGGTTATAGACTGCACTTCGTGCAGCCTTAAAATAATCTTATAACTACTACTGTAATTTTTAAAGCAATTTGTTGGAAGTGTTAGCAAGATAACTTGTTGAAACGTTTGTGGATGTTATTGCTTATGTTGATCAAATACAAGTGCAACTAGTAATGTAAATTTCAATATTACTGCACTGGACATACAATAAACTAAAGGACCAAAGAATGCATTGCTTCTTGGGCATCACTTAGTCTATATCAGTGGTTTTCAACCTTTGTTTTTCAGTGCTGGGACCCTGCAGTCTCATATCTTACTCTGTGGCATCCCTAGTTAATTTTCTAGTAGAACCGCCTTCCAAGAGTACTTCGCATAGAACATATATGCGAACTATAAAATATGCAAGCCCGTTAGTGTAATGCACAAGCAATAAACAAACTAATTTGTCATCTAACTTTTTAGTAAGATATTTGGGCTTGGTGTAATTGGCAGATCCTTATAATATTAAGTGGAATATTGGACAGAAATCCCCTCATTTCTTCCTCGACCGATTGTAACCTTTCCCTCTTGTTAGAGTTTATGTTTGTGAGCACAGATAATCCCGTCTTACGCAGGTGATATGATATGTCTGCTGACATATGTATCCGTCTGCTAATGGTACTGTCTGAGACTTAAACCTTTGACCTTTTTCTGCTTCACTCCCAAACATGGTTTTTTACTACAGTACTGCAAGCAGGGAGAATAAGTGTTTCTGCTTCTACATGAGGCTTCATATTTTGAGAGAGTAATTCTGTTAGTAAGTAGCTGGCCTCTCGAGCTTTATTAGAAACTTTGTTTCAGAAAATATCAGGCTGCATTGTCTTTGCTAAGTTCAAGTAAATCTCACATCTAAATAACTGTCCATATATACCTGGAGTTTACCTGGAGAGAGTTCCGGGGGTCAACGCCCCCGCGGCCCGGTCTGTGACCAGGCCTCCTGGTGGATCAGAGCCTGATCAACCAGGCTGTTACTTCTGGCTGCACGCAATCCAACGTACGAGCCACAGCCCGGCTGGTCAGGTACCGACTTTAGGTGCTTGTCCAGTGCCAGCTTGAAGACTGCCAGTGGTCTATTGGTAATCCCCTTTATGTATGCTGGGAGGCAGTTGAACAGTCTCGGGCCCCTGACACTTATCGAAGTAATTGAAATTTCTCATCGTTGAACTTCATATTGTTTTCTGCAGCCCATTGAAAGATTTGGTTGATGTCCGCCTGGAGCTTTGCAGTGTCTGAAATGGAAGACACTGCCATGCAGATTCGGGTGTCATCTGCAAAGGAAGACACGGTGCTGTGGCTTTTCTTTCTTCTAATCACATCAGTTTTACCGGAAGTGGGAACTGTTCTTTTTCACTCATATTTCCACGTTTGTCTTCCTTAACGTCCTCACCACAGTCATCTTCATGTTTGCTCTTCCTCACAATCTTGTCTATATTATGTTAAAGGGCAAGATACTGTATAAAACGTCTGTAGTTATAATACAATAAGAAAGTGACTCGCTACATCTCCCTGGGAAGTCAACACCTCTGTGATGAAAACCAATAACGTATTGGACGCCACAAAGTGTAGAGTTGTAAACCAAGAAAATGACAATTTTTCACCACTCATCATTCATACTATCTTCGCTACTCATCACTAACTTCACTACTCATCATTCACACTAACATCACTTCATCATCTACACTAGCTTCATTACTCATCATCTACATTAACTTCACTTCTCATCATTCACACCAATTTCACTACTCATCATTCACACTAGCTTCACTACTCATCATTCCATACTAACTTCACTTCTAATCATTCACACTGTTTACTGAATGCTAGTTTAGTTAGAGGGAATAAGCAAAAGCTTAACCGTGATGCTTAATAATTTGTGTAGAGCGAAACACCAACGTCAAGGACCTGGGAGTGATCATGTCGGAGGACCTCACCTTCAAGGACCACAACATTGTATCAATCGCATTTGCTAGAAAAATGACAGGATGGATAATGAGAACCTTCAAAACTAGGGATGCCAAGCCCATGATGACACTCTTCAGGTCACTTGTTCTATCTAGGCTGGAATATTGCTGCACACTAACAGCACCTTTCAAGGCAGGTGAAATTGTCTGACCTAGAAAATGTACAGAGAACCTTCACGGCGCGCATAACGGAGATAAAACACCTCAATTACTGGGAGTGTTTGAGGTTCCTGAACCTGTATTCCCTGGAACGCAGGCGGGAGAGATACCTGGAGATTATATACACCTGGAAAATCCTAGAGGAACTAGTACCGAACTTGCACACGAAAATCACTCACTACGAAAGCAAAAGACTTAGCAGACGATGCACCATCCCCCCAATGAAAAGCAGGGGTGTCACTAGCACGTTAAGAGACCATACAATAAGTGTCAGGGGCCGGAGACTGTTCAACTGCCTCCCAGCATACATAAGGGGGATTACCAACAGACCCCTGGCAGTCTTCAAGCTGGCACTGGACAAGCACCTAAAGTCGGTACCTGACCAGCTGGGCTGTGGCTCGTACGTTGGTTTGCGTGCAGCCAGCAGTAACAGCCTGGTTGATCAGGCTCTGATCCACCAGGAGGCATGGTCACAGACCGGGCCGCGGGGGCGTTGACCCCTGAAATCTTCTCCAGGTATACTCGGTATAACAACGGGCTTTCTGTATAGTATGTCATCAGTAAGTGTATTCAGGGATACACAGTTACATTGATTGTCATACATAATATATGTCAACTAGGTCTGTAGAAATAAAAATTATTATTATTTTTATTATTGTAGAAATAAATATTATTATTATCGTGCCATGATGCTGATTTACAATAACAGCACTTCCCAACCTCCCAGTGTCAGTCCGCTTCTTAGGGTAGTATTACTACCCCAGAAACTGGTCAGTACTGTTCAATAAAAGTTTTGGTTGCCCACAAAACTTCAACAACAACAACGTCTGTTGGTTCTGGTTGCTGTAGTTGTTTAAGAGTAAAAAATGGCTGCCGGAGCTGCCGTGAAGTTGTCTCCTCATCTTCGGGAGCTCCGTATTCATTTATGCCAGAACTCTGCATCCAGTCAGGGAGTTAGGTAACATAACTAGAGTCATAAGGTTTTAAAAGCATACTTGAGAGCGCGTTATATAGTGTTTATGTTGAATATTAGGAAGGACGGCTTAATGTGTACGTGGGGTATGAACTTTTTCTCCCTTCTATATATTTTATATAAATGACATTACGTATTCTTTATAACACCTCAGCCTCGTATGCTTTTCCAACAGTACTACCAACCTATTCACAGACATACTTTAAATGTCAATATTAAGAAGAAATACAGTAAAATAAGACAATAAGGAAGGAATACTGTTGGTCTACTGGCTTGCCCCCTCAAGGAAGGTTCCTTGATGTTGGTGAGGGGCTCTTGATTTAGGGAATTGGATCTGTGCTCCACGACTATGGTGCTCTTCGCACCTACTCCTAGGTTGAGGGACTGATTACCTCATCTTCTGTACATAGTTCTACTGTCTTCAAGTTATGGCCTAGAATTTGTATTGATAAAGCCACTGGATGGCGAAACGTCTACAATAAAGATACCCAGATGTTGCACATGTGTCTTAATCTCATCATCCCCGAATTAAGCCTGAATGCCTTCCACATCCCCCCCCCAGGCGCTGTATAATCCTCCGGGTTTAGCGCTTCCCCCTTGATTATAATAAAATAATACTGGCTTGTGCCAGGCAGGTCCAACATGCATATTGTTCCATGGCTTGTTTGGTAACATTCTCGCCTCCACCCGAAACTGGTGGAAATGCTGGGCGCTCCTTGTTCACCTAGCAGTGAGTAGGTACCTGGGTGTTAGTCGACTTGTAGGTCACATCCTGGGGGACAAGATTGAAGGACCCCAATGGAAATAAGTCAGCAAGTCCTCGATGACACACTGACTGACTTTGGTTATCCAGGGTGTTTATCCTTCTGGGTTAAAAATCTAAACAAATCTTATTACCCATCAACATCCATTTGTTTACCTGTCCAACATATATTTAAAGCTACCCAAGGTTCTTGCCTCAGTAATGCTACCTGGGAGTTTGTTCCACTTACCTACAACTCTTGCCAAAGTAGTACTTCCCTATATCCTTTCTAAATCTAAATTTTTTCAGCTTGAATCCATTGATGCAATTCTTGTCTTGGTTAGATGTTTTCAGCATGCTGTTTATATCCTCTGTTCCTGTTTTCCTTTTGTACATTTCAGTCATATCTCCCCCAATTCTGTGCCTGTCTGAGGACTGCAAGTTCAGTGCCTTCAGCCTATCTTCATAGGAAAGGTTTCTAATACGTATATGGAATCAGCCTCGCCATCCTTCTCTGTATATTTTCAAGTGCATTTATGTCCATCCTGTAATAAAGAGACCAGAAATAAAAAACATAACCTAAATAAGGTATAACCAAAGATATATAAAATTGAAATATAGGGCTTCTACTATTAATGATATGAAACCAAAAATTCTATTTGCTTTATTACACTGGACACACTGGCCTTGTCACAGACCGGGCCGCGGGGGCGTTGACCCCCGGAACTCTCTCCAGGTAAACTCCAGGACAAGCACCTAGAGTCGATACCTAACCAGCCGGGCTGTGGCTCGTACGTTGGATTGCGTGCAGCCAGCAGTAACAGCCTGGTTGATCAGGGTCTGATCCACCATGAGGCCTGGTCACAGACTTGGCCGTAGAGGCGTTGACCCTGGAACTCTCTCCAGGTAAACACTTATGCACTGTTGCCTTGGCTTTAAATGTCTGCTAACCAGATATACATATTTTTCACATCCACTCTTATAATCTTCATTGTTCAGCTTATAAATACCATATAGCTATTTCCTTTTCCTAGGATTAGAACTGCATCTGTCACTTTTCCACCTCAACATCAACCTATCCAGGTCATCCTGAAGTTATTTGATGGGGCATTTTAATGTCATTGGCAAACTTACCTATGTTGCCATTTACTTCTTCATCAATGTCATTTATGTAGATTGTGAACATGATCCCAATAGTGACCCCTGTAGCACACCACTCATAACAAGTTCCAGTTCTGACATCTACTCACTAATGCCAACTCTGTTGCCTCGACCCAGGAGATAATTTCTCCTATTCTGTGTGCTGTTAGTTTCTTACTCAGCCTCCTGTGTGGAGCTTTATCAAAGGCCTTACTGAAGTCCATATACACAATATTGTATTCTTTATCTTGGTCTACTGCCCTAAATGTCTTAGTGAAAAAGGAATAGTAAATTTGTAAGGCAAAAATGCTTCTTTGTAAAACTGTGCTAAGATTCGTTGATCAAATTGTCTTTCAAGGTGGTGGTTTTGAATTGCATCAGCAGTTACTGAGTCCATCTACTTTCTCACAATTGAGGTTACACTGATCAGTCTATTGGTCTACAATTGACATAGGTAAGGAACAATGTAAGATAATAATTAAAGATGACTACTAAGCAGATTTTGGCAGTTACTTGTACAGGAAACCCTTGATATAAAGGACTAATAGAAGGCTTGTCAGAGTGTCTGTTAAATCAGAATAGTGGTTAAAAATAAAATGCACAAAAGTACTCCACTTAACATAATAATTTACACACAGTTTACAGATAAAATGCAATAAACATTGAAAGAAAAGGAGTTAAAAGTACAATTTAACCAGTGGGTTTTGCCCATAATTTTAAAAGTTCATTATATTGAGGTCTGTTGATTTTTATATTTGAGACATTATTTTTTTTTTTAAATGTAATCCTCCTCAAAAAAAAAAAAAATTCTTCCGAAATGGTAGGGAATCTCTTATGTTGAAAATGTTATAAAATACAGTGAACCCTCGGTTATCGGCCGTAATCCATTCCAGAACCCCAGCCTAAAACTGAAATGGCTGAAAACCAATATGTATAATATTTCCCATATGAATTAATGTAAATACGTACAATTAATCTGTTCCAGACAAAAATATTCACGAAAAAAAAAAATTAACAATTACAGTGGTCCCTCGATAATAGTCAGGCTCGATAGTTGTCCTTTTCGGAAATCGGCGTGTTATTTTAGTCCAAACATTGGCTCGCAAATGGTCGGTTGACTCACTAATCGTTGTTCGTCCTGGACATGTACTTACGGCTCTGAGCCTCCTCAACCTCCCTTCTCAGCCAGTGTTCAATTGTTTACCAATGAGCGACAGTCCCCTCACGTGTTCATACAAAATATTTCATAATATTCCATTCATTTTAGTGCTTGCAAGTGCTAAATAAGCTACCATGGCTCCAAAGAAAGCTCCTAGTGCCAAGCCTTTGGTAAAGAAGGTGAGAAGTACGATTGAATTTAAGAAAAACATCATTGAAGAATCTGAAAGTGGCGTACGTGTGGCTGAACTGGCCAGGATGTATAACAAACCCCTACAACCATATCTTCCATCATGGCCAAGAAAAAGGAAATCAAGGAAGCTGTTGTTGCAAAAGGGGTAAATATGCTGACAAAAATGAGATCACCAGTACTCGAAGAGGTTGAGAAGTTATTATTAGTGTGGATAAACGAGAAACAATTAGCAGGAGATAGTCTTATGACGTCGATTATTTGTGAAAAGGCTAGGCAGTTGCATGACGATCTGGTAAAGAAATTGCCTGCAACGAGCACTGATATTTGTGAATTTAAAGCTAGCAAAGGTTGATTTGAGAGATAAGGCATGGTGAGGTTGCCAGTTCGGACAAAATTGCAGTTACAAAATTCGTAAGTGAATTCAAGGAGTACTTAAAGGCTGAAGGACTGAAACCTGAATAAGTGTTCAATTGAGACAAAACAGGCCACTTTTGGAAGTAAATGCCAAAGAAGACCTACATTACTCAGGAGGAAAAGGGACTGCTAGGACACAAGCCTATGAAAGACAGGCTGACACTCATGTTCTGTGCTAATGCTAGTGGGGATTTCAAAGTGAAGCCATTACTAGTGTACCATTCTGAAAAGCCCAGAGTGTTCAAAAAAAAAAAAAAAAAGTTATAAAGAGTAAATTGTGTGTGTTTTGGAGATCTAATAATAAGGCATGGGTCACGAGGGAAATTTTCGTCGAGTGGTTCAATGAAGTGTTTGGCCCTAGTGTGAAGAATTACCTCCTGGAAAAGAAATTGGATCTCAAGTGCCTCCTAGTGATGGACAATGCACCTGCTCATCCTCCAAACTTGGATAACCTAATTCTGCAGGAGTTTGGGTTCATCACAGTAAAGTTCTTGCCCCCGAATACCACTCCTCTCCTCCAGCCCATGGACAAGCAGGTCATTTCAAACTTTAAAAAACTCTACACGAAAGCAATGTTTCAAAGGTGCTTTAATGTGACCTCAGACCCTAAAAGAGTTTTGGAAAGAACACTTCAGTATCCTCCATTGCATAAGCCTTATAGATAAGGCTTGGGAGGGAGTGACTACCAGGACTTTGAACTCTGCTTGGAGAAAATTGTGGCCAGATTGTGTCCACAAGAGGGATTTTGAAGGGCTTGTGGTTGACCCTGATGAGCCTATGTCAGTTGTGAACTCTACTGTGGCATTGGGGAGTTCCATGGGGTTGGATGTGAGTTTGGAGGATGTGGAAGAGTTGGTGGAGGACCACAATGAAGAGTTAACCACTGAGGAGCTGCAAGAGCTTCAGCAGGAACAACAACAGATCGCAACTCAGAATCTTGCTGCAGAGGAGGAAGAGAGATGGAAGAAGGTGCCTTCTTCAGAAATTAAGGAGATTTTTGAAATGTGGGGTAGGATGGAAAAATTTATGGAGAAACATCACCCTGAGAAGGATGTTGCAAGCCATATCGGCAACTTGTACAGTGACAGAGTCTTGTCCCATTTTAGGGAAGTTTTAAAGAGATGCCAGAAACAGAGCTCTCTGGACACTTTTTTTGTGAGACAGGACTCCAGTGACTCTCAAGCTGGTCCTAGTGGCATTAAGAAACAGAAGAGAAGTAACCCTAGAAAAGGACTTGGTACTCAAGGTGTAACTAAACAGTAACTAATCCAATCTCTCTCCTCCTCCAGTCTTCCATACACTAAGAAGAATAGCCAATAAAGGTAAGTGTTATGCTGT